TAGATAGATACCCTAGCAGACGAAGGTAGTCGGAAATGTATGTACATATGCTTGTTTGTAGGTAGTAAAAGATTCGATAGATTAACAGGAAACAATCATGAATTACATTTAGAAATTACTATACAAAACAAAACTGAAAAATTAAATTTTAAATTGTTTATATATATATATTATATATAACCGGAGCAGCCGCCTAAATGGGACAAATTACTCTGTTCATTAGTGTCCCGGATAAACGGAAGGTAGAGATTACATAGAGATTTTAAATGAGACGCCAATATATGTTTATCTTTTTTTTTTGAGGCGAGAGTCCTTGCTGAATCCAACAGCGGAATAAGAGAAACAGAAACATTGCTTCCTCCAGTCGCCAAAAAAATTCTCTTGCATTCATTGCAGAAGAAACACATGACTTCAGATGTCCATTTTTTGTGATCCTAAAATAACCCTGTATTGCCCAACAAAAGTTTAGTTAACGAAGTAAATCCATGATATTTTTATATACGTGTATATATGGTGTGTGTGTGTGTGTGTGTACATAGTTCTGTCTTTAAAAAGTTAATTGAAAATCCAATGAATGGATGCTGTATTTATATTTTTTTGATAGTTAATTCTTTTTTTATATATATATATATATATATATATATATATATATATATATATATATATATATGTATTGAACGGTGAATTTTTTGTCAGGTGAATTCATATCCTTCCGCCAGTAAAGAGGCAAGGATCTAGTTATTGAATGTCAATAGGCTCACAAAATGTTCAAATTCTCATTTTTATAAAATAAAGATATTTTAGCCTTGAAATATTAAGTCCAATATCGATATATAACATTTACAAAATTGTTAAAAAATCAATGTAATTTTTTATATATATATATATATATGTGTGTGTGAACATCATTGTATACGAATATATATATAAATATAGATATACAGATGCATATATGTGAGCTTTATTGTATATATGTGATATATATATATATATATATATATATATATATATATATATATATTGATGCAATGAGAACGAAATTAATTTATAAATTCTAACGTTCACAGCATTAATCTAAAAGAGGGCTCGATACCGATAGTAAACCGATAATTATTTAAAATAATTTTTTCATATACTTTAAAAAAAGTTTACTTTTACAAAGACATAACTCCGTTTCAAAAATTGCATTTTAATTGCACCTCGATTTCTTGGGAACCCAAATGGCAATCATATTTTTAACTATTAAACTTTTTTGTTCTATAGCAAAAAAAATATATATATATATATATATATATATATATATATATATATATATATATTGGATAGATAGCAGAATAGAAATTTTATGGATATAAACATGTGGGCATGGAAATCAACAAAATATATAAATATATATATCCCCGCCTACATATCTGACAATTGATTAAGGCATATATATCTATATATATATATATATATATATATATATATATATATATATATATATATATATATATAGATGAAGATCGATCGATCTATATGCACATATTATCTATATATATATATATATATATATATATATATTTATTTATATATATATATATAAATATGTGTGTGCATATATATATTTATATTATCTATATATATATGTATATATATATATATATTTTGTGCATATATATATATATATATATATATATATATATTATATATATATATAAAGTCCTCCAGATGGCGGATGAACTGAAAATTCATATCGACCAGCTAACTAGAGCTGATGTTTCGATAGATGTGCCGTGGACAAGGCAAAGTGCAATCCCTATGGACAGTCAACATAAACTTATTTAATTGTCTATAACACTGAGAAGATCCTTAAACAAACCCAACTCATAAATCCTTGTTTATTTTCTGTTGTTAAGAAGGTACCATTCTATCGGCCTGTTGAACATGTGAATGATTCGAACTAGTACGGATTTCAAGAATGATTTTATTTGCTTTGCAACATGGATGTTTTTGAGTTGGCACTCATTGGTGAAATTTGGAACCACATGTGTGCTACATGTAACTGACGACGTTGAAAATAGGCTTGTCGGTATATCAAAAAGTAATTTCTGTCTCATGTTTGTCTTTTTCAGTTACGAAGTCTCCAGTTAACATGGAGCCCCGTACAAGGAAGTAATACCAGAAATTTGCCTGTCACATCGGCACTTATTCATTTCGAATGCCTCATACATCAGGGATTTACACTGGCCACTTCTCAGCATATTTAGGTACGAGTGGGACCTAGTAAATGGTTATATTTATTTGTCAAGAATTATTATTAATTTCAATGACAAAAGCCCATTATAAAACTACCGTATTTTCCGGCTTACAAGACGCACTTTTTTTTTCTTAAAAAATACCCCCAAAAATATGCGTGCGTCTTCCATGGCGAATGTAAGGTAACGCCCAGGTTCAAGTAAGCTTGGACGGTCACCTATTTGGTTTGATTAATAGGGACGTATATTTGTATTTTGAATCA